GGAGCAGAGCCTGTTTCCAAGTGTCCCTAGCACTCAGCACAGGACAGGCACAGAGATGTGTGGGGAATAGTAAATGGAAATGGAATAGTAAATGACGGATCTGTTAACAAGTCCTTTACCACCTGACCTAGCCTTGCAAATAAGAGGTAAAAGCTGGCATCCAGACCGAGGCGTTCTGGATGCAGGGCACGTGATGCTCCCCACTGTCAGTGGAACGCTTCCTCTGGCATTTTTTCTAAACACAGAATGCTCGCTATGGAAGACAACGTCTTCAGCTTTCAGTCAGCCATTCTATTTTCCCCAAGCGCTATCCCTCCCAACTTTATTTCCATATTTTCTACTTCCCAGTGGGTTCTTTACTCTATGGTTTCATTCCCTATTATATCGAAATTTTCCTCATAAGAAATGACCTTGCTTTTCTATTATCTTCAAATTCCAAATCTCAATTAGCATAATTTTAAAGACTTAATCAAAAGCTAAGGACTCCGCAAACACTATTCCATCTTTGTCTCCATATAGCTTTTCCTATTTTTCTGAATTCTCAAAGAACATGGGCTGAATGTTGACTAACTCGCTTGTCGCATTCTGTCCCGTGTATAGAAAAGCACCACAATTCTGCAGGCATCCCATTAGACTATCAGCTCCCTCAAAGGTAAGACCTATGTCTGACTCTGACACCAGTTAGAATTGCCTGTACATTATTATTCAAGAAAAATTTATGTGGAAAAACTTTTCCCTTGAATAATCCTGCTTCAAGTTCTATTTTGTTTATTCTATCTACTTAGAAGAAAATATCCATGCCTTATTTTCCCCATATTCAAAGTTGATCTCTTCTACACACCTTCTCATAAATGAGCAGCTCAGCCAGTTCTCGTTTTGTAGAGTGTGGTGTTCAAATGTACAGACCAGCTGCCCAGCAAACTACACTGCGGTGCTGGGAGTCGTATGGTCAATGGTAGGTTCAGACCCCTGGGTTAGTGTGAAAACACACTGGGCTCATGGTACACATGACCAGGACCCTGAGAAGCTGGAGAACCAGGGAAAGGGGATGAAAGTGTGCCAAGACCCTGATGAAGGTGCTTCTCTTGCTCTTTCTCTTACGTACACGCACTCACACTCTTAATCATGAATAAAAATGTAATAAGAAATAAAAATTTAAAAAATCTATAGACCTAAGCCTGAATTCTAATCCAGTTTTACAACTGATGAGCTGTTGATATTGGGCAAGTTACTTAACATTTCTGTGGTTTAATTTCATAATCTAGAAATGATAATAGCATCTACTTCACAGGATTTTTTCTCTTTTAAAAATTTTATTTTATTTTTTTTTTTACTTTTTAAATGTACATTTCTTCTTCTTTTCTCCTCACCTACCAAGTGGAAAAAGAAAGAAACAAAACATTTAGGGGACGCCTCACCTACCAAGGGGAAAAAGAAAGAAACAAAACATTTAGGGGACAGAAAAAATGGAAAATTATCCGTTGTTGAAAACGTGTATGATAATGTCTTTAACTGAACTAATGTGCAGCATATTTATGCAGGGAAAAAATTCATTTTATAAGTTGTAATGATATAAAGTGATTGAATATATAAAACAAAATACAGGGAACCAGCAGTTAGCGTAATGGCTATGTCGCTGGACTCCCACGTAGTCGACCGCGGTTCGCGTCCCGGACCCGGTGGCTTAAAACTCACGCCGGGCGCGTGTGCGTGCGTGCCCAAGATCCCGAGAGGAGAATGGAGGAGAAGGGATTGCGGCGTGACCATCCCCCCTGGGGGGTGATTTCTCGCTTTCTGTCTCTATGTCTCTCTCTCTCTGTCTGTCTGGCGAGCGCATGCGCCCTACAGTGAAAATCTCTCAAAAAAAAAAAAAAACAAAAAAAAACAAAATACAATACAAATGAAATAAAAAGTAAATTTTCATTTAATCTTTGTACATTTTTACAGTATATGAAATAGTTTTTCCAGCATGAATGTAGTGTGTATCAATCAAGTCAAAGATATTACCATACATATATATATTTAAAGAATTATTTTATTTAACTTTATTTATTTATTTAGATTTGATTGGAGAGGGGACAGATTGAGAGAGAGAGAGAGAGATTGAGGGAAATTGAGAAAGCAAGTTGCCAGGTCTGAAACTTGAACCATGGCTAGTCATGTGGGAGTCCAGCACCCTTAACCACCATGCCACCTGCCAGTCCACTATGCATAATTCCATCTCTATGTAAAGATGGCATGAGTTAATCTCTGTGAAGTACACAAAATATTGCTGGCATATCATAAGGACTCCAGAAGTTAGTTGTTTTTCCAAATTCTTTCTCATGGTTAGTACTCCTTACTTGGCAATGATTACTTAGCAACTGGTGATATATATTCTATTTTTGTTAGAAAATTTTAAAACAGATATTATTAATAAAGTTTTAATGGACATATCATATTTTCTTAAATAATCTGCAAGCCCTAAGAGCACAGGAGAACTTTGATTACTGAGCATGTGCTACGTGTCAAGAACTTGGCTAAGTGCTTGCTATAAATACTCATTCATTACTAAAAAGTACAGTATGAGTTAAGTATTATTCTCATATTATAGACAAACAAAAAAGAATTTGAGAGAGACTAGGTAATTTGTCTACATTTTCTAAGCTAGTATGTGGTAGAGGTAGGAGAGTTGATGAAGGCAAAGATTCTGATTTATATTTGTTTCCCAGATTCACTATCTATTCAATAATACCATTACCATCTAGGTTGAATTTTCCTTATTGCTATGTATATGTTGTTGCTATGATATTTGAACTGTATATAAATACTTAGAAAATTTACTTCTCATTTGTAATATATCCTAATACAGAGACCTTAGTTTTCACTTTAACATTCTTAAATTCATCTTAGGCTGCAATATAAGCCCTCCTCCTATTCAAATGACAAGACCATAATACACTGTTAGTATATAAGTAGAAACCTCTGTGGGTTTTTTGTTTTTATGTAGTTTTGTTTTATTGTGCCCCATGCATTTGTGATAATCACCATCAACTTATATTTAGCTTTATTATTGCATTTGTTTGAATTAATGCCACTCCTATAGTGAACTTAGTTCAAAGAAATGCTAGAAAACATTTGCTCCACACCCCTGACTTTACCAAGGTGGGAAATGGGGCTCAGACACATGGGAGCATGCCAGAATTTCACAGCTGGCGAGGGGCAGAAAAGGGCTGAGAACTGGTCTTTATTCTTGCTCTAGAGTTCTTTAGCTAAGTGACACTGCTACCAGCAAACAAATGAATGCTACGTTTTTCATGTCCTAATATTTCCCATTTAACTACTGTGTGGTTTTAGACCAGTGCCCTTTAGTGTACCTATCATTACATAATCCCAAGTAGAAGGCACCAGGGAAGACTTAAAAACAGGAAATATTTGAAAAAGCAGAAGCCCTGTGAAATTTTCCACCCCTGGGTCTTTACTCATACTGCTCCCCAGATTTCATTTTTCTACAAGTCCTTAAACCAGAGTGGCTCACAGAGTGGTCCAGGGATGGGTGTGGGACTAAAAAATGTTTATTTCCCTGTGATGAGATAAGTGTAGTAAAAGAGAGTGAGCATAGAACTATTATAACAATTTAAAAGAATAATTAATCTGTCAAATCTAATAATAGTAAAATTTGGTCTTCCATTCTGCATTTTTAATTTCCTGGTACTAATTGTACTCTACAAAATAACTGGTTTCCTATAGGATGAGAGGGGAACAGTCCTTCATCACGGAAAATTTGAGAGGCACTGGCTTAAGGGGTCCAGGTTTATGTGCCACTAGTTATTTTATAGAGCATTCCTAGTGTTCCTGATAGTTTTTGAAATTTTAAGTATTTGGCCTATGTTTTCTTACGCCTTTTGTCCCTTTCTACCCAGATTGGTAATTACGGGATCTTCTGGAAACTCATGACACATTTTTGCATAGAAAAACTTAGAAAAATATGTCACGACTTTTCCAATGACCTAATATCGGCATGTTTGTGTTCTCGTCTCTGAACAAGTACAGGGTCCCTGAGGACAGTAACACACCCACAGCACCTTGCAAATGGCATTTGATTTACACATTTGCGTTATAGAAAGAGACTTCAAATAGTCTGTGGAAAAAATGGAATCTAAGTACAAGTTTAAAACCAGCCAGTGGTGTGGTGGCAAAGGTGGCTCGATACGACTTGGCCAACTGTCTGATTCAAGCCCTAGACCCAATAGCTTGAAAATCATGCTGGCCATGTGTGTGCATGGGCAAAATCCCAAGGGGAGAATGAAGTAGAAGGAAATGCAGCAGGGTCATCACCCAGGGGAAGAGGGAATTTCTCACTTTCTTCCTCTCTCTCTCTCTCTCTCTCTCTCTCTCTCTATCTTGCTCTCTCTGCTGAGTGCACACATCCTAGAACAAATATTTTAAAAAGTACACGTTTACTGTGGTGCCAAATTCTTTTTAAATTCATGTACAGTTTTCATAATATGCATTTTCCATGAGCCTTTGAAGGTCCTTGTACTAATGGACTGGAAAAATGAATCATTCATAGTTTTTCACAGGTTTGGAGAGGGGACAAGTAAAAACTACAAAGAAAACATCTTTCCCTGAACTCAGAAGGGTAAAGGATTGAGATTACAGAGTTTAGCCAATACCCAATTTCACATTTTGTACACGAATCTGTAAGGCAACTGAGAGAAACCCAAATACACACAGAAACCTTTCTTCCCTGTGGAAAACTAATAAACTGTCAACAGTTAAGTCTTGATATCAAAGATGTGTCGCAAAGAAACTCTAAAGACCACTGAGATTTTAGTACAAACTAAGTAGATACTACACTTAGGGCATTCTCCCAACATAATTCCTGGAATTGCTCAGATACATGCACATGTGTGTCCACTCCCACGTGAATACTCAAATATTTTACCAGTAGAGCCAATAAATTCCAAATTACTGCAGAACAGGTATTTCCTTCCCAAGTCAGCTCCAGACCCACTCACCAAAGTACTCGTCGGCCGGTGGATTTTCCATGTCATACAGCATCTTCTTGGTTAGGTGTTCGAGCTCGTCTTCCGGGCGGAAGGAAGTGGGGATAGCTGGAGGCCCCATTGACGCGGTGGATCCACCCTGAAAGGCAGAAAGCACATAATCCTTTAGCTGCCATCTAGACATCACCCAAGGCAATCAGTCTGAACAAGTAGTGTTTACACTGGAGAGGGAAAAGCACTGGATAAGTCTGTTAGGAGAGCTGGGCTTTAGGATTCGCTTTATCTCTTATTCAGTGTCTAACCTTGGACATATCTCTCCGGCCTTGTCTAAATGAGTCCTCTACCAGGCTTTAAATATATATAGTTATGACAAGAAGACTATTTTGTTCAACCATTGCTAAGCAGTCAATATATACCACTTATATGTTCATATAAAAGATGACTAAATTGAGCCTGTCATCCGTATGGGTCTAAGAGTCAAGTGGGAGATATGGGCATGTTAATAATTAAAGACAGAACAGCCATAGAAGGTGCATGACCAGGTGTGAGAGGAAGACTGACTAGGATTTATTAATTTAATAAAAAAACCCTAAAACACACACATAAAAGTTGCTCACATTCAGGTAGCAGTTGTGTATTTTTGGACCACATATAAAGTTTGAAATAGGAAATGAGATGAATATTATCAGGTACAGGAGTTCAGAAATTGAAAAGTCTTTTGTTCCAGTTAAAGAAGTTTTTTGTTGTTGTTTGCTTTTATGGTTATTTTTTCCTCCTTAGCAATGCAAACAGCCTCATGTCAAATGGGGACAATAAGCCAGTAGCACTGACACAAGGCTGGCGTTTAAAAAGCTAATTGAACCAGAAGAATCAAAATGTAAGAGATTTGAGCGTCAGATGGCAGTGTGCTTGAGATCATCAAGCAAGAATCCAAAGCGGGTAGTAGAAGAAAGGCCACAGGCTTGATGTAAAATACTTTCCTGTTACGTAAATGAAAGGAACTTTATACTTTTCTTTCCTTATAGTGTGACAGACAGAGAGAGACAGAGAGACAGAAAGTGAGAAATCACCCCCCAGAGGGGATGGTCACGCCGCAATCCCTTCTCCTCCATTCTCCTCTCAGGATCTTGGGCACGCACGCACATGCACCCAGCGTGAGTTTTAAGCCACCGGGTCCGGGATGTGAATTGCGGTCGACTACGTGGGAGTCCAGCGACATAGCCATTACACTAACTGCTGGTTCCCTAGAAACATTGTTATTCGAAGTGTAGAAATGATGAGGAAGCCCACATGGCTTATGGGCAGAGATGAAGATTGGGACACTCTCACCTTGATTCTTAAGCAATTTAAAAATAGTTGGTCAAATGTTTCTCTTGCCAGATAGTTTAGTACAACAAGGGCCAACCAGTGGTGTGGTGATTAAAGCAGCTGGATCCCACATGCCCGATTACAGGATCTGAATCCCAGACCCAGCTTGGAAAACACAGCAGGTATGTGTGCATGCATGGCCTATATCCCAAGAGGAGAAAGGAGAAGAAGGGATTGTGGCATGGCCATCCCCTTGAGAGGAGGCAGAGGGAGCTTTCCCTTCCTCTCTCTCTGGTGAGTGCACATACCCTATAGCAAATTGAAAAAAAAAGAATTAGTTCAACAAAACTAAAAGGTGCATATTCATTCTCCCATTATCTTCTCACTTGAGTTTTCAATGTGAAAATCCTGTAAAAACACAATCTTTGTACAAATGTTATCTTCCCTATTACCAACAATTACTTCAACAAGTCCAGGGTGGGGGCTCATCATTCGTATTACACCTAGGGCATGAGAGGTCTTCTAAACATCCAGGAGAACATTGATTAGTATCTACTTTGGCCTCTTCTCTATAAGTTTCCAGTTTTGAGTTTTCTAAAATGTAGAAACATGCAGAAAGATGGAAAAGCCAAGAATTTTTGATGTTGGTCATTAATCTTACTCTGGGATTTTATTTCATTGTTGAACGATTTGGATTGAATATTGAAAAGTAGTGAATAGACTATGGTTTATGTCAGGTGATAGACAAAAACAGAGCTGTGTGGAGACCTGAAGACTCATTCTCCTCATGGGAAGGTTTCTGGTTCACATTTAAGAACCCTCCTGAGGTACCCATGACCTGGGGCTGGCTGGGCCTATTGGAGGTGGATTGTAGTATCTAGACTGTGTTGGAGGTATTTGTCTCTGTGTCTCTGTCTCTCTTGCTAACAGAAGAAATAAATTAATAAACTAAAAATAGAAACTATTAAAGAAAACCTGGTAGCTCCTGCTTCTAGTCTTAGGGTGGACCCCCAGGGGATGGGCACTATTTGTTATCTAAGCCAAACAGCTGCTTCTCTTTCAACCTAAAGAAAGGCAGGAAGAAGGCTGAGTTTGTCCTCCATAACTCTAAGCCAGAAATTCAGATTCTACCCTTAGCACTTAAAATTCAAGTCCAAGTCCAATTTCAAAGTACCTTGTCAGCATCTCAGACTTTAAGAAAAGTACGTCATTGTTTCCATTCTGTAATTACTACTTCATATTTGCTTGCCATAGTGTTTCTGAAATAACAAACTTGGAAGGACTGTTTTCTTTTAGATTCTTCTCACTTACATAATGCTAATTGTGAATTCTGGTATTTCTTAAGAGGAAAGATCCCAAGAGGTTCTGAACTTTATTTTGTTACATTGCCACTCCCTCTCCATCTCACCCTGCCCTTGGGTATTATGCTTAATACCTGTAAAATACATATGGGGGAGAACACAGGGTTCCTCGGTTTAGAGTGGATTCTCACACCAAGAAAGACAGCTTACGACTTTGTCTTGACGTTCAAGTCCTCTAAGCAGTAGGTTGGACCTTTCTTGCACTGATAGACAGACACACACCCTCTAATTTGCAGTACTTGTTCTCGACACATCCTAAGAAGAAGGAACAACTCTGCCCAACCTATTTTTTATTAAGGAAATATAAACACTGCCCACAGCCATCGTGTGTGAGCAGTAAGACAAGTGAACATTTGTAGTGGGGGCACTTAAAGGGGATAATCTGCATCGTTTTGGTTTTTATTTTTTCAACAGCAGATGTTTTAATACAATCAGTACAAAGTTCACATCAGTATCAGAATTATTCTTATTTGTGCGACTCTCTATAAGGTGCCTACCTTCATGTGTGTGTGTGTTTGTGTTTGTGTGTGTAACCTACCTTCATGTGTGTGTATGTGTTTGTGTTTGTGTGTGTATAGTGTCAAATGTTTATACAATGGGCATGCATTTCTAAATCCATTCAATGGTTAAGAAAATTGAGGCTCAGGAAGGTGGGCAGGCAGCTCTGTGTGAAGCACCACTGCTGAGAAATGGTGGTATTACCCTGGGTATTACCCTGCAGAAGCTCTCAGGGTTCTGAGCGCATTATTTCCAAGTCCTTCCAGCTCTGTTATTCTGTATAAGTTGGACTGTACTCCAGTGACTCCATTTTTTTAAGCAATTATTTTTAGAGTGCAAGTTTATTACCAAATTGTTTGTTTTACTACTAAATTGTTTGTTTGTGAAACCAAAACAAAGCCTCCAGGCTTTTCTGAGAATAAGACATTCTTGTAAGTATCAGTATTAATCACTAAGTGTATGTCCTCTCATGCCTGAATCTTTTAGCAAAGGCACAGGAACATGACATGATGCATAGGTGACTTATCAAGTAATGGAGTTTACAGGACATCTTCAGAATTTTCTTTCACATCCTCCCTAAGGAATTGCCAGGTGCCAAGAACTATAATTACAAAGCCAAAGTAGTCAGAGTTTCTCCCTCTGACAAGCCATAGTTTAGAGACACAAAAATACACAATTACAATACTGTATAAGCACTAACAAACAGGTATGAATCTAGTGCTATGAGGCGGAAGAAGACTGACAGGAAGAGATGACCATTGATTACCAAGAGTAAATTAAATATAACTGGCAATCAGAAGGAAAAAGGACAGAAGGATGGGAGGGAGTGAGGGAGAGAACGTGAAAGAAAAAAAGGCATTCCAAGAACAATAAATACAAAAGAATATGTACATTCACCACACACACACAAGCTGCTAAGAAAGAAAAAACACACAGAATTAGGATGAGGCTACAGAGATAAGAGGCAGTCAATACCAGTATTTTGTTTTTGGTAACAAAAAGTCATTAGAGGATTTTTAAAAGGGTGTTGATGTTATTAGAGCTATGCTTCTGAAATACGCATACTGGCAAAAATCTGCAAACACCCTGGGCAACACCACCTTAAAAAATGCAGTCAGATTTCAGGGTATTTCTGAGCAACTTAGTGGCTTATTTGTTTTAGAATGATTATGATATTAACCGAGGGAGGTGGAGACTGCTCACTGCCTACCAAAATCATACCCTCTTCTTTCTGGGCATACAGTGAGACCACGTATCGCATTCTCTGCCACAGTCAGATGGCCACGTGTGGCACAAGGAGAGAACTTTGGCCCTGAGCTACCACATGGAGGAAACCCATCCACTATCCAAGAGAGAGGCTGCAAAGAAATATACTCAAAGATAATGGTGGAACGCATTGGGGGAACTGAGTAGTTTATATTCTGTATGTTTCTGTATTTCCCTTTTCCTACACAAAGGTATTTTTTGTTAGATAAAAAACAACCAAATATTTGGAACTGATTCTTCTTTGCCACTATTCTTCACTTGCTAGGGGCCCAGGTGATTGTCACTGAAGACTAAATAGGAAGTCAAATGTAGGTCTAGGTCCCTGGTCACCATTCTGGTGGAACTCTGAAATAGGGGAGACTTGTTTCTGCCAACACAATACACATGATGGAATCCTCAGGGAACAAGAAAACTCTGCCAGAGTAAGAATAACATAAGTAATATCTATTCCATTTATGTAACTCTTCACAGTGTTTGAAATAGTCTACATTCTTACATAGGGATTCATAAATATGGAAGACCTGACTCTTTAAAATCAGTTTAACCTTAGCTGTGCCTTTAGCTTGTCCAGCGATTTTGATCAAATCATTTTCTGGGCCTTGGTTCCTTTATGTATAATTTGATAATATCAATGATTCCTTTGATTAGACTCTAGTATATTGCATGCCTCTAATATGCAGGACATATATCATTACCTATCTTTAGA